TTTTTCTATCGTCCAATCAGATGTGGCCGTCCAGACACGCCCATTTTTCTATCGTCCAATCAGATCCGGCCGGCCAGAAACGCCCATTTTCCTATCGTCCAATCAGATATGACCGCCCAGATACGCCCACTTTCCTATAGTCCAATCAGATATGAGCGCCCAGATACGCCTTCCGAATTTGCCTGCAGAGACCCCTTTTTGGCACAGTTGGCGAAAATAGCACAAACTATGCTGAATTACTTAGATTGTAAGACATACAGGATCATAAAAAAATGGCAAACAATAGTGGGAATGCTGAATTAGCATCCACACAAGACACCAGTAAACACACAGTTTTAAGAATAAGTCTTTATGTACTTTTTTTATGTGAAACAAATGACCATTTTACTACACAAATAGAAGCAGATGCTGCCAGAGACATAGACCATGTCTGAGAAAGAAGTACAGAACATGTAAAGTACAAATACTGGTATCATAGAACTGTAAATTATTGCTTGCTTTGCTACGTTGTTTTCTGGATTCCTACAATACAAGACACACTATTCAGTTTTCAACAGAAACAGTACAACAGTGACAGTATTAACAATATTACTGAGATATTCAACAGACGTTTCTCAGAAGAAAAAAAAAATGAAACGGTCAAACCAAGTCCATGTTGAACACGACACAATGACAGTTTTGACTGAGCATCTTCAGGACTTCTAGTTAACCTTTTTTTTTTTTTTTTTACCAGTTTTTTGTTTATTTCCATTTCAACAATGCCAAGAGAAGCTAGAAATTGCAAACTGCACACTGAGACTGGCCTCAGCAAGAAAAAAAAAAAACACTTGGCATATGTACATAAATATACTCTTCTCAACTGTGACCAAAACGCACCAGTTTGAATCATCAAGATCACAGCATGAAATCAAAACAAAAAATCATCCGCAGTGCTCTGATGCTTCTTCTGCATCCCCTCTCCACCTCCACAGCTCCACTAATAGAAAGTCCACTCTGACAACACCATTCTTTTCTAAGAACGGTTGATCTTTCTCAGAAAACAAGATGAATATTACTTGTAGACGAGAAAAAGATATTTCTGCTGTGGCATTCCGTCTCATTTCAAAATGTACTGCATGTTAACACCTTTTTTTAATTGCATGCTGTTACATCCAAAAGGCCTAAAAGGTTTGCACATGCAAAAAGAAATTTAAGAGCTCGACTCGCTGGTGAAAAGGCTAACCGGGTGTTTCAACCTCACAGTAAAAATAAATAAACAAGACAGAAAAATGTGCATACTACTTTGTCTCAAAATGAAAGAAAACACTGACAGTAAAGTATTGTTTACAGGGAAAAAAAAAGTTTTTTAAAATTTCACGACACCTTATGGACAAATATAAGGGTCTATTATCCTCTGATGCCCCAAATCATCAAGCATTTAAATATTTAGTGAACCAAGTAGTTGAGATTTCTTTTCTAAAGGTACAAAAACACCATTAAAAGAAAAACATTAATGTGAAATAAGAAAACACAACACTTTCAGGGGGCATAAGATTTGTTTTGTGATGACAAAATGAGGCGTGTCATTACTTTGGTTATTGTTTCATTTACTATCTCATGAGGAAACCTTAATTTCCTCTCTGCTTACTGTAACGCTTTCAGGCAAGATGCAACATCTGCAAGACAATTTTCACCGTTTTTATCGCTCATCTATATTCGATGAGATGCAGTGCAAAAATCTGGTGTGCAGCAGGGCAGCTATCAAGAGCCCCACCATTTCTTAAGAGACATCGGGAGATTCTCAGTGCAAAATAAGCAGTTTCCATGGGAACATGATTTAGTTTTATTAAACAAGGTAATTCATACAAAAAGGATGAGAAAATACAACAAATAAAAATCTGAAAATGTAATAATTAAAAAAAAAAAAAGCATCCTTGAGGGAACAAGAAAGGATGAATGGTCTTCAATCCATCAAATCTTGACAAAAGCAACAACAACTCATTCAGCTTTTATTCCCAATAAGGACGACACTTTAAACTTTGCGTGGGAAATGGTGTACTTATATCAACACCAAATCCCTTCCATCACAATTTTTTTTAAAAGAACACCTCAGCTGCTCATCTTCTCAATTAATTAGGCATGCAAAAAGTGTTGGGGTATAAAATACACATATTAAGAATACACATATAGTAGTTCTGGAAAAAAGGAAACAAAAACACTTGTCCGATTAAAAACAAAGCAAAGAAGAACACAACCACGTTGTTAGTCACATATGGCGCTTGGTGCTGTGTGATGTGAAATAGGTGCGTTTTTTTTTTCCTCTTCATTTTACTTGTATGTATTTCTGTTCTTGTTTTTTGTGTGTAATACAGTATATACATGCACAAAAGCATGAGAACGTCACACAGCTGAAGCAGCAAACCTGCAGATATAAAAATGATGAAAAAGAATACACGCATATATATATTTATATATATAAATATATATAGTACTGAAAACATGTTATTGTAAGAAATAAAAAAGTTTATATAGTGAGGTGTTCATAGCTTCAGCTGAAGAGTATTGTACACGTGAGGAAAAAGCTAACAAGCTAACGGACAAGCGAGCATGTAACCAGGATCAGCAATGAGAGCTGAGCGTGTGATATGTGGCAGGTGTGCCTGTGTTGGGACAGGTATTTGACCCCTCTTGCTGGAAACCAGAAGTGGGGATGGGGGGATTAGTGCGACAGAGGCAAGCATGCCCGCCACTCCCCACGCTGTCCGCAGAATGTGATGAGTGTGTGTGTGTGGTTCTCATCCATTCCCTTCAAGCTGCCTCATTCCATCGCCGCGCTCCCCACAAACACCGTCTTCGAGCAATGTTTGTTTGTTTTTGCTTGGAGTTGAACTGAAATGAGGCGCATCGACGCTCTCTGTGAGTGCAGAGACGAGAAAGAGAGGGCAGGTGTGTCGCAGGTTTTAAACGGCGGTCAGGGGGGTGCCGCACCAGGTTCAGGTTGGATAAGGCGGTCCCCTTTAGTTGAAGACATTGGAGGAGCCGTCGGGACGTCTGGTCTGGACGATCTGCTGCTTTGGCCGCACCGCCTCCTCCTCCTCCGTTTCACTCTCGCACACGTGGACGACCACACTGGGGGTGGACTCTGTCCCTGCGTGGAGCTCATACTTTTCACCTGAAGAGGTAGAACAAGAGTTACCAAAAATAATAAAAAAGTAAAGAAATTTGTGTTTGGTCAATTATTTCTTTGCTGTGGCAATAAATCTTACAACACTTGAAAGCCTGTTTATTTCCCTTAAACAGTGCCACTTTTGTAAATGGTAAATGAACTGTACTTATACAGCACCTTTCCATCTTAAGACACTCAAAGCTCTTTACAACAATCTGTGCCTCATTTACTCATTCATGCAGCACTCTACTAGATCTCTACAAAGAATTATCAGAGCTTTATCACATTCATACACTGATGGGACACACAACGGAGGCAATGAGGGGTTCAGTGTCTTGCCCAGGGACACTTCATCCTGTGACTGCTGGTGGAATCAAACCACCAACTCTTGCACTGGAGGACGACTGCTCTAACCACTCAGCCACAGCCGCCCATTTGTTATAGAAATTGCATCGTGAGTGAAGCAGCAGTGAGTTTGTGGTTTGCACCCCCCCAAAAACATTTGCTAAACCTTCTCTACCAATGACAAACTCTTTATTTTGCTACTACCTGTTGTTTTGGGTGTCTGCTACACCAGGTGCTGACAGTCAGGTGCCGGATTGGCGCCTAAATGTCAGCACCTGTGCAATCAGTCTCAATCTTAAATTGCCAGTCTGGAACCAAACTCTATCCTCTGACGATGCTGAGTGCCGTCATCTCAGAGTCTGACCTCAACAAAGCAAAATTTGAGAGTGGAGAGGATGTAATAGCCTGTCTGTAATCCTGACGTCATTGAACACCCATGGGGTCATGTAGTTTCTACTAGATTGACCAACACGACCACACTGGTTAACTTACAACAAATGCTGGGTAAAGAATGGGATGCCATCCCACCACAGAGTATTACAAGCTGGTGAGAAGCATCAAAAGGACAAGCCAGACTGTCGTGGCTGTGTATGGTTCTTCCACATGCTACTGAGGCTCTTGTTTGTTAAATGAATAAATAGTTAAAATACCCACATGTCTTGTTTTTAATCAGATTTCAATCATCCAATCCAATGAACAACACCAAACAAGAGACAATGGTGCCAATAGCAGAATAGTCTGTGTGGCACTGGTAAATAAAGTCTGGCAAGATTTTTTATGGATGTATAACAATTATATTTTTAACTCTGCAGCTTAACCCACAAATGCATTTTCCTAACAAATGTGGCACAATTTAAAGAGAAATAAACAGGCTTTCCAGCAACATATTGTTTATTGCCAAAAAGCATATATATATATATATATATATATATATATATATATACGAGAAGCAAATTGCCTTGTTGTGCTCATTTTTCGTGTGACATGAAGTACTGACAGTGTAAATAATAGCTGGTTCAATCACAGGTAAACACTCAGAAAGTCAATTCAAGAGGAAACAAAGCAGCTTTTCCACAAACAGTCCTGCTATTTGTCCAAACTCAGCGAACTCTGAACGAAAACATACACTTTGCTAGATTGTATGTCGGTTGTCATGGCGATGGGATCAGACAGGTGGCAGGCTGAAGGAAATTGGTCTGTTAGCTGTTCACTGTGGTGCCAAACAGAGACGGGCAGTGAATGGAGGCCTGCTGTTACTGCAGGGAGATGACAGGGGGAGTCAGCGTGCCACGCTGAGGCCCGGGCCTAATCTGATTTCAGGTGGCAGGATGTGAGGAGGAACAAAGCCCATTTCCTGATGCCTCTGTGTTTCCATGGCAACAGCAGAAAGTGGTCCTCCGAGCTGGACTCGGCATGTTTGTGAGAATGTGGAAAGTGTCGTCGTGTTTGTGCTGATAATAAAAGCGGCATTTCACTGAGAACACTTTTCCACTTCATCAGCATGACTGCACCCACATCCAGGATCATGGAAACATATGACTGACATGATACGAGCTTTTTCCTAAAGGTCGCCACAAGGTTGAAGGTTGTGAACAAGACAAGGGCCGATTCTTCACCAGCAAGACCAATCCAGACCCATTTTGACCTGCGGGTGTAAGTTCTGCAACCTACTATTTGATTAAACACACAAGCAACACTGACTCCACATAAAATACTTTACGATCAGGTCGGCAACATTAAGCTCATACAAATGATTAATAAATAGATTTGTGCAAAAAGGAAATGATGAACAAATGTCCAAATGCACATGGGTGAACTCAACATGTCTAAATTAGTGTTCTTCAAATCTCAGTGGTAGTTTTCTGAATTTTAGATTAAACCAGAAAACTGAGTGCACCTCATCTTTAGTTTGTCAGGTTACTCACCTGTTTAATATAATTATGATTTAATAATTTATTCATTCATTTAAAAGAAGCAAAAGAAACAAAGCAAATTCATCAAAAAGAAAAATAACACTGAATGAAAAGGGTGCAGAAAGAAGAAGAAAATTCTTATAATATATGCCCCTTAATAAAAAAAAAATAAACTACAAACAAACAACAACAGGCTTGAACAATCTCCAAAGCGAAAACAAAATCATCAGGCATTCTTCACATGGTATCATAATTTCCCAACAATTTTAACTTTATCATCTTTTTAAACATATAAATTGTTTAAGAAATGTTTATGGTGATATCAAGGCAGTTCCATAATCCTGTTCCCTGAACTACAACGCAGCTCCTTCAGACCAGTTCTAAATGGAGGTTTTACAAACATTTCCATTCCTTGAAGGTTATAATGACTCTTTTTTTTAAACAAATTTTAATTGAATATTTGGGACATATTTTTTATGAGCTTTATACATGACTTGCAAAATACTATATTCAACCAAATCATGCAATTTTAATAATTTTTACTGATGAAATAATATATTTGTTGGGTGACCAGAGCACTTCCTAGTAATAATTCTTATAGCTCTTTTTTGTAAAATGAAAATATGGTTTGTAATTGTTTTGCATGCTTTTCTCCAAAACAATAGATTAAATATGGAACAATCATTACATTATACAATATATACAAAGCCTTGTCATTCAAAAACTCTTTCACTTTATACAGTAATGCAACGGATTTTGCTATTTTTATTCTTAAGTAATTTACATGAGGTTTCCATGTCAGCTTCTCATCAATAACGACACCCAAATATTTTATTTCATTAACTCTATGAATTTCAGTACTGTCAATTTTAAATGGGACTTCTATCATTTTCTTTCTAGTACTAAATATCACGTAGTTTATTTTTTCCAAATTTAATGATAACTTGTTAAGTTGGAACCAAGTTTGTATTTTTATGAATTCTGCCTTTATCATCTCTAACATCCGTTTAATATCTTCACCCGAACAAAAAAATGTGGTATCATCTGCAAATAAAACTCACTTCAAAAGCCCTGACACATCAACCAGATCATTCATATTTAAAATAAACAACTTTGGTCCCAACACAGAGCCTTGAGGGACTCCACATCCATTAACACACAATTCTGATCTTACATCGTTTCCCTGTACAAACTGTCTCTTAATATTCAAATAACTGGATACCCACTGTAGTGCTAATCCTCTAATGCCATATGTATTCAGTTTTTCAAGGAGAACAGTGTGGTCAGTAGCGTCGAAGGCCTTTTTTAAATCAACAAAAACACCAACACAATACAGTTTTTGATCAACAGCATTTGTTATCTCTTCTATTAGTTCCATGAGAGCCATTGATGTTGAATTATTTGCTCTAAACCCATATTGACTATTACTTAAACTTACTCACCTTAAAACAAAAACAAAAGAATCTTTCTGAAATGTTTTGTCAGCAAACGCTAACAACCCGGGGAGCAATGGGCATAATTATGGATGTAGTAGTGGACAAACGATGGCAAAATGGGTTTAAAGAATGAAGCTTTTTGACAAATATTAGCCCCAAAACAGCCGATAAAATACGTTTACTGCTGCTTTACATGCAAATAAAAGTCCCCAATAAAATACATTCATGACTCAAATATTTTTACTCCATTTACTTTTGTCTTAATTGCTCCAAATACACATCCTATCCTTACTACTATTTGTAGTAGAGGATATTATTTCCTGTTTGTATTTCCACTTGGAAATGAGAGCTAAACCACCTTTTCCCTGTTTTCGTTATCATCTGCCACTGAAGGTGAAGTGGTAATAATGTATTTGCCTGTCTTTATGTGTGCGTGTTCATTCGCTGGTAGTTTCAGCAAAACACCTCATCAACCAGAAGACCTATTTTAATGAAATTCTCAGAAACTAATCGTTGCATGTACATTTAAAACGCATTAACTTTTGGAGTCAATCAAATTCAAGATGGCTGCCACAGCCAACACTCCTTAGAAACACAAATATAGCTACAATAACGTTAGTTTTACAGATATTGAGCTCAGATTTGGTGTGGTAGTAACTGAAAGTCATTCCCAACATATACTCAAAGCTCAAATTATTGCATAATATTATTGCCTAACTTTGTAAGTCTGTTAGCAAAATATCTCATGAACCAATGGATGGATTATAATGAAACTTACAGAAAGTTAATTTCTTATACACAATATATATATATATATATATATATATATATATATATATATATATATATAACTCCATCCCTTCTCAGCTTATGATGAGCTCAGTTTAAATCTCCTGCACTAAAGATGGCGGGCGACATGCATTCCATCAAGGAATGTGAGGCCTTTCACGTTCTACTTGTTTACATACTGAACACGTTCGTCAGGTGCAGCACTGACCCGGTCCGAGCTTAGCGACAGCACACAGCAGGTCATAGTTGATGACAGGCGTAGCGTCTTCGCTCTGGCTCCAGCCCACAGGCGGCGAGGCAGGTGGCGAGATCAGAAACTGTTTGACGGGCTGCGGAGGCGCCAGATACGACTTGTCGATGTCTTCGTCGCCGTTTTGGATCTGTTGGAGAGAATTTGACAACTGATTAGTGAAACGTGTGACACAGCTGGCAACGTTCCTGTTCTTTTTGTGGACGCCATGGTGTCACGAACAAGCAAGACAACTCTCGAGTCCTCAAACGTTTAATTTCAGCTCGTTCATTTAAAGAAAGATTTATGGTTTGATAGCTTCTGATTGGCGTTGTTACAATGTCTACATGTGGCTTTTGTCAGAGCTCTAGAATCCCTAATCCTCTTACGTCAAACTACAGAAGGTGCTGGAGGGGTCACAACTGAGGACGCATTTGTAGAAAAAGGGCCATCAGGTTGAATCAGCTTAGATAATATTTCTCAGGAAGCAGAAATTGCATTTCCTGTGAAATGGAGTGTGAATGCTTAATGCAGGAGAAATTGCTGAAAACAGCTGAATTATTTTAAAACAATTAAAACATGCTGAAATATAGCTGAAACAGAAGAACAAGCATAAATTAGCAGAAAAACACATATTTGCTGAATTAGATTTAAATAAGCAGAAATTAAAACAAAAAAAAAGAGGAAATTAGCTAAAGAAGCTAAATTAGCAAAATAGCTGAAAAGTAGCTGAAAAAGGCATAAAGAAGCACAAACTACCAGAAGAAAGCAGAAAGCGCTGAAATGAGCATAAAAATGAGGAAATTATCTGAAAAAAGCTGAAATTAGAAGAAAAAACAGCTGAAAAGTAGCTAAAAAGAAGCTGAAATTACAAGAAGGAAGTGGAGAGAGCACATTTTGCTGAAGTAGACTGAAAAAAGTTTAAATGAGTGCAAAAAATGTGGAATTATCTGAAAAAGCTTAAATTAGCATGAGCAGCTGAAATAGTAGAAAAAGTTGAAACTTGCATAAATAAGCTGAAAGGAGCAGAACAAGCTGAAATTAGCAGAAAGAAGTTAGAAGAAGCACAAAAATGTTGCCGTTAGCAGAAAGAATCTGAACGGAGCACAAAGCAGCTGCAAAACAGCTGAAAGCAGCTGAAAAAAGTTTAAATTTGCACAAGAAAACTGAAAGAAGCCGAACTGGAACAAAATGTGAAAGGAGCAATAAAAGGTTGTAAACACATCTAAAGAAATGGCAGAAAAGGCTAAATATTTCAAAAAGCTAAAGTTGCAACAATACCAAAAATCATAGCAGGATTGATCTGAAAGAGCTGAACGTTTTGATCTATGACTTGTTGAAAAACACAAAAATTGTGGAACGAGAAAGTTGCTGAAGAACGTGCGGAAGAAAAATGGATCCCAGAAGACTGAACGCTTCATAAACATTCACACAACTACGTTCTTCTATCGAACCGCGGACTCCGTTTTATTTTGCTCTTTCTTGCAGTTTAGACACTCACTTGAGCAAAGTAGAGTTTTAGCTTCTTGCCGTTGAACTCAGACTCGTGCAGCTCGATGCGAGCTCGAGCGGCCGCCTCCGGGGTGCTGAAGTTGATTCGGACTCTCCTGAAGCTTTTAAACATCTGGAAGGTCACCTGCTCGTCGTAGATTCTAAACAAGGCTTCAAACCTCTCCTGCAGAAGAAGAAAACAGGAAGAAGGAATGGTTTGACAACTGTTTCAGGACTAGCTGTGCAAAGGATAGATCACCATCAGGTAAAATGTCAGGTACAGCATCTGTTTTCCATTTAGTGTGTGCCACCTTGACATTACAAATGTGACAAATCTGAGCGCGATCTTCAGTGGGAGTCACCTTAAACCTGCTCTTCACCATCTCATTACATGAATGATGAAATCAGATTCTGTGATCATGTTCTTAAAATGTCCTTTGGAACTGTTTGTGTCCCGGCTCCTTAGCTCTGACCTTATTAAAGTCATCTTTCTCTGCTCGTCTCCCTTTTCTTTGCCTTAGCCGTCTTTTTCCTCTTCTCTTTAAGTCAGTCATCTCCTCGGGTACTAAATTGGCCACCTCAGCTGTGAACTCAATCACGCAGCTCAGCGGGAAAAAAGCGCCACCAGGAGAGCTGATTTCTAAGTAATCAGTAGTGCTATTCTTTGTTTCCCTGTCGACCATCTCCTCGCAGCTGCACAAGAAAAAACAAGCCTTCCTTCTGAGAATCGAGGAGGACGAGGACTGCATGTGCCACTCTGAAACGAGGAAACTTGGCATCAACAGAACTTGACTGTACCATGAGCTTCGTGAGCTGATGTCAACGTCAGCTGGTGCCCACTGCTCTGCACTCAGCCCCTCAATCTATCACAGTGTGGCCGCTTTAATCTGAGCGGAGCTTCTTGTTTGTCAGCAGGGGACTGAAAGTAAAATAGTCGCACAACGTTTTCCCCGATCAGCTGAGACAGCAGCTCTCACCAGGATGGAAGGAGTCGCTGTTACCTGAAGGAGGTCACATCTGCCTGTGTCCATCAGTGACAGCTCTCAGGAATCTGTGAACTCGTCACACTGAGAGGAGTGCTGGGTTCAGCTCCTGCGCTCCGTCAGCTCTGTGGGCTTTTTAGCTCTTCTTAACGCTAAATGAACTAGCAAAATTGCTTTTCCTGCTAAAATGCAGTGCGAATGCTTATTACAGAAGAACTGGCAGAAAAACAGCTGAAATTAGCAACAACCCACCCCCCCAAAAAAAAATAAAAACATGGTGAAATGAAGCTGAAATGAAAAAACAAACCTACGTTTGCAGAAAGAACACTTCTTTGCTGAATTTGGTTTAAGAAAGCAGGAATGAGCACAAAAATTAGGATATTAGCTGGAAAAAAGGCTGAAATTAGCAACAAAAAAGAGCTGCAAAGACAGAACGAAGCTTAAACTACTAGAAGGAAGTGGCAAGAACCAAAATCAGCTAAAGAAATGTGGAATTAGCTGGGAAAGCTAAAATTATCATCAAAAGAGCTAAATGGTAGCTGCAAGTGCAGAAAATGCTGAAACTAGTAGATAAAAACGGAAAGAAGCAGTTAATTAGGCAGAACGTAAGAGAAATTACTACAAAAACACTTGACCTTATCTGAAAACAGCTGAAATTAGCTAAAAAAAATGCTAAAAATGTAGCTGAAAGTGTGGAACAAGCTTAACAGCAAAAAAAAAAAAGTAGAAAGAGAACGTTTGTCCAATTAAGCTGAAAAAAAATCCAAAAATGAGCACAAAAAAGTGTAAATCATCTCGATAAAGCTGAATTTAGCAACAAAAACAGCTGAAAAGTAGCTAAAAAAAGCAGAAAGAAGCTTAAATTACCAGAAGGAAGTGGAGAGAGTAGATTTTTGTTGAATTAGGCAGAAAAAAGTTGAAATGAGTGTGAAAAATGCAGTATTATCTGAAAAAGCTTAATTTAGCATAAAACTGCTAAATATTAGCTGAAATAGCAGAAAAAGCTGAAACTTGCATAAATAAGCTGAAAGGAGCAGAACAAGCTGAAATTAGCAGAAGGAAGTTAGAAGAAGCATAAAAATGTTGTAGCTAGCAGAAAGAATATCAAAGAAGCACAAAACAGCTGAAATTGCCTGAAAAATAAGTTTAAATTTGCACAAGAAAGCTTAAAGAAGCTGAACCAGAACAAAATGTGAAAGGAGCAGTAAAAGGTTGTAAACAGATCTAAAGATCTGAAGGATGTAAAATGAGCTCAATTCATTTCCTGCGAGAAAAAAAAATGGCAGAAAAGGCTAAATATTTCAAAAAGCTAAAGTGGCACCAATACTAAAAGTCATAGCAGGATTTTCCTGAACGAGCCGAACGTTTTCATTTAGGATTTGTTGAAATAGGCAGCACGGTGGCACAACTGGTAGAGCTGCTGCCTCTCAGTGAGAAGGTCACTGGTTCAAATCCCGGTCAGGGGACCTTTCTGGGTGGAGTTTGCATGTTCTCTCCGTGCATGCATGCGCTTTCTCCAGGTACTCCGGTTTCCTCCCACAGACCAAAAACATGCATGTTAGGCTGATTGGTGACTCTGAGTGAATAGTTGTTTGTCTCGTTTGTCTCTATATGTCCCTGGACTGGAGACCTGTCCAGGGTGTCCCCTGCCCCTCGCACAGTCATAGCTGGACATGGGCACCAGTGACCCCCACGACCCAAAAAAAAAAAAAAAAAACGGGTAAAAGATAATGGATGGATGGATGGATGGATGGATGGATGGATGGATGGATGGAGGGATGGATGTGTTCAAATAGCACAAACATTGTGGAGCGAGAAAGATGCTGAAAAACGTACAGAAGTAAAAAGGATCACAATAGTGTGAATGTTTATTAAGCATTCACACAGTAAGAACAAATTGTTCTTTAAAATAATGCAGATCACCCACCGTCTTTCATGCCAGAGTTTTAAAATGAAATCATTTTATCATAACAAGGGTGGACTTATTGTTTTGGTTCAAATTTGTTAATCACTTTTTGCACAACTTCGTGTGATGTGTGATCTTGAGATATGAGAGATAATGTGTCATGGACAAAGCTCGGCTACAACCACACCCCATTTTAACTCCGTATTTGTAAAACTGAATGAGTTTTAGCTGTTTTTGTATTGACTGAAGTTGATTAGCTGTGGCAGCCATCTTGACTGGTGTTGTCTCCAAATGTTAATGAGCTTTAGACATTCAGTCGGTTGTTACTTTCTGAAAGTTTCACTAAAATAGTTCAAGGGGTTTATAAGATATTTTGCTAACAGAAAAACACGGTCGACATCAACAGTTAATGCCTAAATTTTAAGCAAAGGTTTCGCACAAATGCGTGGTACTCAAAAATCAAGTTGGAGACTAAGCTCAGCTACTACAACACCAAATTGTAGTTCATTATCTGTTAAGCTGAGTGAACTACAGCCATTTCTGTGTTTCAAAATTTGATCTAGCTGTGGTGGCCATCTTGAATTGGTGTGACTCCAAAATGTAATCCTTCGTAGAGGCACATCCAGTGGTCATCTACTAAAAGTTTCATTAAAATTTAGTTAGTGGTACATGAGATATTTTGCTAACAGACAGACACACTTGATTCTAATGAAAGGCGAAGTAAGAAAAAAACGATATTGCGCAATCAATTAGTAGTCAGAGCATGTGGTGGGGAGGACTCTCAGCTACCACCAAATAAAAAAACAACAAAAAAAAAAACACTTTTTCCACAGAAGTGATGAAATATTGAATGTTTAGTTTTGCCCCTCTTTATTTTATTGGACGATTTGGTCAAAACTAAACCAAAAATAGTGGAATATATTCATAAACATGTATTTATCACGATAAATGTAGCTTTACTAGATTACTAAAGCTGAATGTTCGGATTAAAACCAGTGACTAAATCGCTGTTTTCCACTTTTTATTGCTCGAGTATTCAACTAAATGAGGAAAATGTTAAATTCATCGTAAACAATAAAAGCATGACGCTGGAACCACTTGTCCCTAAAAGTGAATTTATTGTAAAAGGCCAGCTTCCTCTCTGTATTGATAACTCCTCATCGTCGTGTCTGACGCACGCAGAGAGGGAAATGATTCAGAGAAGAAGAAACAAGGTGTTAAAATGTGCTTCGACACATGTTTGTATGTACTCGAACACATACTGACAGCTTTGTTTCAGGTCTATTTTTCTCTTAAATCTCCACGGCAACAGATGTTCAAGTGACTGACAAAAATTAGAGGCTGGGCTGATAAAAGTCAGCTAACGATGCAGGCGTTCGGCTCTTGATGAATGATTAGGAGTGGCATGTGCAGCAGTGATTTCAAGTGTCTCAAAACTTCTAAAGTTCTTTGATGAGCCGAAGAGAAGACTTTAGGGCCAACTACAGGAAATTTATTTTTGAGAGAAATAAAACCACCACTAACCTCTACACACATAGAGCTCTTTGCTCTCAGACTGCAGGTTTACCTGTGGTTCCTAGAGTTTCCAAAAGCAGAATGGGAGGAAGACCTTCCAGTTATCAGGCTCCTCTCTTGTGGAACCAATTTACAGTTTCTGTCCATGAGGCTGACACATTGTCCAGTTTTAAAACTGGGATTAAGACTTTCATTTTAGATAAATCCTGTTAAAAGGGAGTTTTTCCTTTCCTCTACCTCCTTTGTGCTTGCTCAGGATGGGAGACTGCGACGAAGTGAAGATTCAACGTGTCTGCTGGATTCCTTAGATAGAGAACTTTACTAATTGCCTTTTCTATGTATGTGCATGTTCCTGTTCAGTGTCCTCAGACAAATTTGTTGTGAATTGGCGCTGTATAAATAAATTGAATTGAACAGAAAATACAATACGTTTTCCTCCATTAATAAATGTTCTTATTAACTTGTATGGAAATTAGTTATGTGAGAGTAGTGTCAATCAGAGCGGGCGCCATGACAACAGAAATGGCCGTCGATGGTCTCGCAGAGAACATAAACAGAGATGTTAGTTTATATTTTTATGTTGTTTATTAAATTTTATTACTATAAAAGGTGCTTAACATCCATCCATCCACCCATCCATTATTTTTACCTGCTTCTTCCTTTTTGGGTCACGGGGGTCACTGGTGCCCATATCCAGCAGTCACTGTGCGAGAGGCGGGGGACACCCTGGACAGGTTGCAAGTCCATCACGTATTAATAATAATAAAGTGTTCTTCAACA